ACACCCTCGCCAATACTTGCTGTTTGATGATTTGTTGATGGCGGCCATTCTGACAGGTATGAGGTGATAACTCATAGTTGTTTTAATTTGCATCTCTCTGATGATTAGTGATGATGAGCATTTCTTCCTATGTCTCTTAGCCATTTGTATGTCCTGTTTGGAGAGGTCTCTATTTATGTCCTCTGCCCATTTCCTATTTGGGTTCTTTATCTTCCTTTTGTTGAGTTGCATGAGAACTCTATATATTGGAAATTAACCCCTTATCTGATTTATCATTGGCGATTATGGTCTCCCATATAGTGGAATCCCTTTCCATTTTGAAGGTTATTTCTTTTGCTGTGTAGAAGCTTTTAAGTTTGATGTAGTCCCATGTGTTCATTTTTTCCTTTGTTTCTCTTGCCTTAGGTGTTGTATCAGTGAAAATTCTGCTGCGTTTGATACCTGAGATTTTGTTGCTACATTTTCTTCTAGAATTTTTATGGATTCACGAGTTACATTTAAGTCTTTTATCCAATTTGAGTTTATTCTCCTGTATGGTGTAAGTTGGTGTTCTAGCTTCATGTTTTTGCAAGTAGCTCTCCAATTTTGCCAACACTATTTATTGAAGAAACTGTCTTGATGCCAGTGTATGCTCTTGCCACCTTTGTCAAATATTAATTGAGCATATTGTCTTGGGTCAATTTCAGGCTTCTCTATTCTGTTCCATTGATCTATCTGCTGGTTCGTGTGTGAATACCAGCTGTTTTAATTATAGCAGCATTGTAGTACAACCTGAAATCTGGTAATGTGATCCCTCCTACTTTGTTTTTCTTTTCCAAGTCTGCTGTGGTTATTTGGGGTCTTTTTTGGTTCCATATAAACTTTTGGAGTGTTTGTTCTAGTTCTATGAAGTATGTCGTTGATATTTTGATGGGGATTGCATTGAATCTATAGATTGCTTTGCATAGTCTGAACATTTTAATGATGTTAATTCTTCCAATCCATGAACAAGGTATATGCTTCCACTTTTTTATATCTTTCTCTACTTCTTTTTTCAATGACCTATATTTTTCTGTGAATAGGTCCTTTACTTCTTTGGTTAAGTTTATTCCTAGGTATCTTAATTTTTTTGCTGCAATGGTAAATGGGATTGTCTTCTCAGTTTCTCTTTCTGTGAGTTCATCATTGGTGTATAAGAATGCTGTTGATTTCTTGATGTTAATTTTGTAGCCTGCTACTTTTCCAAATTCATTTATTAAGTCTATTAGATTTTTGATGGAATCTTTAGGGTTTTCTACATATAGTATCATGTCATCTGCAAATAATGACAGTTTCACTTCCTCTGTTCCAATTTGGATCCCCTTTATTTTTTCTTCATGTCTAATTGCTGTGTTTAAGACTTCCAGTACTATGTTAAATAAGAGTGGTGAAAGTGGGCATCCCTGTCTTGTTACTGTTCCTAAGGGAAATGCTTTTAGTTTTTGCCCATTGAGTGTGATGTTGGCTGTAGGTTTTTCTTTTTTTTTTTTTTTTTTTATCCTCACCCGAGGACATTTTTCCATTTTTTTGTACAGATAGAGTGGGAGGGAGAGAGAGGAAGAGAGAGAGAGGGATACATCGATGTGGAAGGGACACATCAAGTGGCTGCCACCCGCACGACCAACTAGGGCCGGGGACAAATTGCAACCGAGGTACATGCCCTTAGCGGGAACCGAACCCGGGTCTCTCCGGACCGCAAGTGGACGTTCTAACCACTGAGCCAAACCGGCCAGGGCGGCTGTAGGTTTTTCATATATGGCCTTTATTATGTTGAGATATGATCTCTCTATTCCCCCATTGCTGAATGTTTTTATCAAAAATGGGTGCTGGATTTTTCAGCATCTATTGATATGATCATATGGGTTTTATTTTTCTTTTTGTTTATGTGGTGTATCACATTTATTGATTTGCAAATATTGTACCATCCTTGAATGCCTGGGATAAAACCCACTTGGTCATGATGAATAATTTTTTTGATGTATTGCTAGATCCGATTTTCTAATATTTTGTTAAGGATTTTGGCCTCTGTGTTCATCAGGGATATTGGCCTGTCGGTTTTTTCTTTGTAGTGTCTTTATCCGGTTTTGTAATTAAGATTATGTTGGCCTCATAAAATGAGTTTGGAAGTGTTCTGTCTTCTTGGAGTTTTTGGAATAGTTTGAGGAGAATAGGTATTAGATCTTCTTTGAATGTTTGGTAAATCTCCCCCGTGAAGCCATCTGGTCCTGGGCTTTTGTTTGCTGGGAATTTCTTGACTACATCTTCAATTTCCATAATTGTTATTGGTCTGTTCAAGTTTCGTATCTCTTCCTGGTTCATTTTTGGAAGACTGTGTTTTTCTAGAAATTTGTTCATTTCTTCTAGATTGTCCAATTTGTTGGCATATAATTGTTTCTAGTATGTTTCAATGATCTTTTGTATTTCTGTGGTGTTAGTTGTTACTTTCCCTCTTTTATTTCTGATTTTGTTTATTTGGTTTCTCTCTTTTTATTTCTTGGTGAGTCTGGCTAAAAGTCCAATGATCTTATTTATCTTTTCAAAGAACCAGCTTTTTGTTTCATTGATCTGATCTTGCCTCTTTGTTCTCCAACTACAGTAATCTTCAAGATTATAATAAATATTCAGCTCTCCCATCCTGGGCACAAAGTGGAATTATACCTCCCTGCCATTAGGTGTGACCATCTGACTGTTACTTGGTCAGTAAAATGTGAGCGTTACTGATACCTGTCACTTTCCAAAGGAAGCATTAATAGTTGGATCATGTATCAACACGTTCTTCTTCCCTCATGGTAATAAAAAAAAAACCTCATTGTTCCATACAGTGGTTACTTATTCAGCCTGTATCACTGAGTAAAGATGTGATGATGCGGTTAGGGTCTCCAACCTGTCCAAGAAGGTCATGTATTATGAACAAGAAATGCACCCTTGTTATATTGAACCACTGAGATTTTGTGTGTGTGTGGTTTATTAATACAGTATAACCTAGCCTATCCTGTCTGATAAACCATAATCCTTAATCTTTACCCCCACTTGTTTTCTTTAGACTTTTTCTTTTTCCTGAACTGCCTCACCCACAAGCAGTAATCTGCTGCTGGGCAGTGTTAAGGGCATAAGAAACTATTGGATAATGGGTTCCTGATACTCTCAATAGTAAAGTCTTTATTGATTTCAGAACCAGGAAATTCCCTCTGCCTTTTTGATGGATGAACTTGAAGGTGTCAAAAAATATTTTTGGCCAAACCAAGGCTCAGACTTTGATTTCACAGCTGATGAGTCCTTACTTCCCCAACAAATAGTTCTCATATCCATACCAAGGTGCTACAAATATATGTAGAATATTTAAAATATTAGAGACAACAACTGTAGTAAATTTGAATTGATATGATCTTCTGTGGACCTTTGTGATTTGTTTTTCATGCGTTACTCACTAATATAATCTTAATTATTATAACCTCCAAACATTCCTTGTTAAATCAGGATCTGAGAAGGTAAGTCTTTTATGATATATGGAGCAGATAAAGCTGGTTTTGTGTTATTTATTATACTTGTTAAAAGATATGAATAAAGACTTTCTCTGAAATGGATGTCTGAGAGACCCATATAAAGTAAACGTCCTCATGGAATTAGCTCAAATTTTATACATTCTTACCTTTCTTAGCTCCAAACATACCTGTCCAACTATGTCTGTAGTAAGAATCTCTAAGAGACATTCCAAGAAGAAAAAGGAGAGTTTAAAATGACTTTGCATCTAGGCCAAGAAGAACTAGATGACTGTGTTCTTCAGTCATGGATAACTTAGACTTTCCTTTAATTAACAGACTTGGCTAATGCCATGTTGTTATCTAACAGTGTGTCTGAGAAACAATAACATTTGTTTTTCTCATTATACAACAAGGCCCAGATGTGCTCAAATCAAGAGTAAGTATGGAGTCCAAATCCTCAGAGAGAACTCATGGTTTAGTTTAAAACCTAGTGAACAAGGAGGAACAAAGAAAAGAAATTTAAATGTTCCAGCCACTTTGCTTGGTTGGAGATTGGATGTCAGGCTGATGGGCAAAAAGAATTTAGAGTAACTTCTAGAAGATAAAGCATAGAGAATCCAGTTTGTAGGATGCTACAGCTGTTTCTAGCTAAGGGTTCTGGGCAACTATGGTTTCTAGAAATATTTTTCACAGCCAATGAAATGCCACACATGAGTTGTGTAATTTTTCATGAACTGGCTTATTTTGTAGCAGCAATTGGATGATTACAATTACCCACTCTCTTCTCAATTTGGTTGCTGGATATGAAGATTCAAGTTTTGTTTTTTTAACTGAAAGAATCCCTGGAGTGACGTAATAGCCCACTTATAGATGTGAGGGTTTTAATAGCCATGGTCTAAGAGAATTATAGCAATGTTGACACACCGAAAGACACCTTTTTTCTCTCCAGCTCAGCATGGTGAACACACTAAATAAAGAGACTATTCAGTTATGCAGGAAAATAATAATATTGTATGAATACTGAGGAGTGTAACAAACTTTGGCAAACTGGAAATTTTTTTCAAAGTGGAGTGCTTGCTAATGAAACTATTTAGGGAAAACTAAGGAGGTGAGACAAAGTAAATGATTCCCTGGTTTTCAAAATGATAAGCAGGCTCATTTATCTCAGGTGGGTGGGGAAAGGACCGGTATTGGGCCCAGGAGACATTGGACTGAATCCCAGATCTGCCCCCCCCTTTAGCTGTGTGACATTAGGCAATTAACTCAACTTCTCTGAACCCCAGTTTCCAGAGAAGTGAAGCTATTACAGGGGGTTGTTTTGGCAAACAAATAATATAATTCATTGCAAAGCACTGTGCAATTTTTAAATATCAGAAATGTGAGAAGTTGTAATATGATTGTCATTATTGTTGCTCTTAACTTCCTACTTTTGATGGATGTGTAATCAATACCTGAGTGAACCCAAAACAATGGTGTTGGGTCTGTGTATACAGAGAATGTAAATGAGTTGTTCTCCTATTCTCAAATTTGCGTGTCACCCTTGTGCAGGGGCCATGCTAATCTTCTCTATTGTTCCCATTTTAGTATATATGCTGCCGAAGCATGCACTCTCCTATTCTCTTTTTGATGGTTAATTTTATTTGTTAACTTGATTGGGCTAAGGCATGCCCAACTAGCTGGTAAATCTTCCTTCTGAATGTGCTTATGAGGTATCTCCAGAAAAGATTAGCATTTGAGTCAGTAGATTAAGTAAAGAAGATTATCTTCACCGATGTGGTCGAATATCACCCAATCTGATGAGGGCCTGAATAGAATAAAAGGTGAAAGATGGGCAAATTTGCTTTCTTTGCTTGAGGTGGAACATCTATCTTCTCCTGCCCTTGAGCACTGGCTTCTCTGGTTCTCAAGTCTTTGGACTAGACTGAAGTATATTTCTGGTTCTCTAGTTTGCAGTTGTCAGTTGGTGAAAATTATTAGTGTCCATACTTAATTATATGAGCCAATTCCTGTATCAAATCTCCTGTCTTGTATATGTCTATATCCTATTCTTCTATTTCTTTAGAGTATGCTAACATACATAACATTACTGATGACCAAGAAAGACTAGAGTATAGTTATGTAGCCCTAAAGATCAACTAATCTCTAGGTAGTATTTAAAAAGTTATTGAAAACTCAACAGAAAACCCCCTTTTTTTTTTACAACTTTATTCCATGTGAAGAACTAATTTCTATATGTAAATAAATATTTGAAATGAGCTGTGAGAGAGAGAGAGAGATACAGATAGATACAGATACAGATACAGATACAGATACAGATACAGATACAGATAGACATGAGAAAAAGAAAGAGAGAACACCACAGGGACAAGAGAACCAAAGGATGGACAGACTTGCAGAGGAAATTGACCACACAGAGCCATACTTTAGTCTGTGGTGGGGCAGTAGTGAAATCTAAAGGATGTAATTAAAGCCCACAAAAACATGAGCAGTGTACATTTTGTTTAGCCAGCTCCAAATAGCCTCATTTATTTGATGTTTGAATATAGGGGCAATTTTAGAGCTTGAGGAAACTAGAACAATCCTTAAAATATGTGCATACACAGAGGATACTGAAATTTCTGGGTCAGAGCCTCATCCTCTCTTATTCACTAATTGATCTCTTTGCCAGTTACTTCTAACCATTTAATTTATCCTTCATATCATAGCCCCAGATATACTTCCCAAATGTACATCTGATCGTGCCTACCCCAACTTTTGTGTGGGCTCACCAAAATTACACACATGGCTTTCACAATCTATTTACAAAGATGTGGCAGGTGAAGAAGCCAAAGACAAATATATTACTTTAGGAATAACATTGACCAACAAGAAGTGCTGGCGAGGGTGTGGAGAAAAGAGGCCTCTAGTACACTGCTGGTGGGAATACAGACTGGTACAGCCACTGTGGAAAGCAATGTGGCATTTCTTCAAAAAATTAAAAATGGACTGCCATTTGACCCAGTGATCTCACTTTTAAGAATATATCCTAAGAAGCCTAAAACACCAATCAGAAAGAAAATATGTACCCCTGTGTTCATAGAAGCACTATTTACAATAGTTAAGATCTGGAAACAACCCAAGTGTCCTTAAGGAGATGAGTGCATAAAAAAGCTTTGGTACATTTACACAATGGAGTACTATGCAGCTGCAAGAAAGAGAGATCTCTTATCCTTTGAAATGACATGGATGGACCTGAAAGTATTATGCTAAGTGAAATAAACCAATCAGAGAAAGACAAATATCATGTGATCTCACTTATTTGTGGAATAGAATGAACAAAATAAGCTGATGAACACAATAGATCCAGAGACTTGGAAGTAGGGAACAGACTGACAAATCTCAGAGGAAAGGGAGGTGGGGGACGGGAAGAGTTAAACCAAAGAATTTATATGCATATATGCATAACCAATGGACACAGTGTGGTGAAGGCAGGTGGAGGTGGGAGCAGGGAGGAAGATGTCAATTGGGAAAAAAAGGGAGGGACATATGTAATACTTTCAACAATAAAGATGTTAAAAAGATACAACTTAAAAAAGAAAAGAAAAGAAATAAGACTGACCAACACTTTGCTCTAGCCAATCAGTTATCCTAAAATGTAACTTTCACAGTGATTCTTGAAACTGAAAAACAGTGAAGAGAAACCTTGAGCTTCTTCTAAGGGGTAATATTTTCCTATTTTTCTCATTTCTCTTGTTAACTTAGTGGACCTCAGAGCCAATTCTGTGGTTTTCCTGAGGGCGTGGTTTCTTGCTTAAGTTTATTTTATCTTATTTTTTTATTATTATTATTTTTTATCCTCACCCAAGGACATTTTTTCATTTTTTGTTCAGGTAGAGTGGGAGGGAGAGAAAGAGAGAAACATCGACGTGAAAGGGACACGTTGAGTGGCTGCCACCTGCACAACCAACCAGGGCCAGGGATAAACTGCAACCGAGGTACTGCAACCTTAGTGGAACCAAACCCGGGTCTCTCTGGACTGCAGACCGACACTCTAACCGCTGAACCAAACCGGCCAGGGCACTTAAGTTTATTTTTTAAAAATTATTCATTTAAAATGTTATTTTTCTTTATTAATTTTAGAGAGAGAGGAAGCGAGAGGGAAAGAGAGATAGAAACATTGATGAGAGAGACCAATTGGCCATCTTTTGCATGCCCACAACCTGGGCATGTGCCCTGACTAAGAATCAATCTGGTGATCTCTTGGTGCATGGATTGATGCTCAACAACTGAGCCACACTAGCTGAGATTCTTGCTTAAGTTTGGAGAAAGAGCCTGGGCTGCCAACCTTACCCCTCCCTGCTTCTTTGTTATACTCTACTTGGCAGAAAAATTGGATAGTTCAGAATCTTAAGACAGTTACAAGTGTATCTTGTTGCCCTAGAAACTTTTGACATAGATGTCTTTAGAATCTCACATAATTACAAGGCCATAAGGTATAGCAGTCTGACATTCATTCATGATTCTATCTCTCATTCCAAATTAGATGTAGTATCCTCATTTAAACAAGTTCATTAGAGGGGGAAGTAGAAGAAGGTAAATGAGGGATAAATGGTGATGGAAGGAGACTTGATATGGGGTGATAAACACACAATATGCAGATGATGTATTGTAGAACTGTATATCTGAGACCTTTATAATTTTATTAACCAATGTCACCCCAATAAATTCAATTAAAAATAAAAGAGCTCATCAGAGAGTTGAACAACGGGCACAAGATGACAGTGTTGTAACATGGCTAAAATTCCTTGTGACACTTTAAAAATACTTTGAGCCCCTACCCTATGCAGACAATTTATTTTTCCAGAGAAATTAAAGCCTAACTGAATAAATCGCACCTCCACAAAGAAAATACTTTCTCAAACTAGCTACAAAAGCATCTTCCTGCAACATGTCTTAGTGTGCATTGCTATTGTTTCAGAGACTGGACCTTCAGGTTTCTGGTGAGAGTTGGTGTGAGCTGTGTCATTTGTTCCTTTCCTGAACATTTGTCTACCCTCACCTCTCATGTTCTAGAAGGTCTGAGTAAACTTTGTTACTCCAATGTAGCTCCAACTCCCTGCAAGTTATATTTATGACAACCCCTTACCTGCTCTAGGTCCTCTTTTCATTCTCCTCTCTTAAAATCTTTCTTGTCTCAAGCAGTTTCAGCTCACAGCTCAAGTCTGATGCTCAGACTGGACTTTTTCCTCTTCTATTGTGTTTAGGGCCAATATTTATATTTTCTGGGTTGGAAGGTCTTTTTCTTACAAGTTTTAAATTATATATATATATATATATATATATATATATATATATATATATTTAATTGAAATGATTGGCTTTCCTTCTTGAGTTTCTAATATCTCAGTTCCAAATCTCAATTGATAGCTTCTTGTTCACACACTAACTCTGGAAGACTTTCACTTTATTTCTGAGGATTTTTGGCTGCTCTGAACAAACTCACACACATTTACATTGGTTGCTGATTTCTTCTTTCACTGTGATTGAACCTGTGTTTTGTGTGTCTCTAATCCACAATCATTCAGTGTTCATCTGCTGTTAATTGAGTTACCTTGAAAACACATGGTACAGAGGTCCACAGAGACTGGCAAACTATAGAAATTTCTAGATCAGTTCTGTCTCAGGTCTTTCCTTTACCAGAATTCAGGCATTCAAGATACATAAAGACAAAAGTAATATGGAAATGCAAATTTATACTTTCTTTAGAGCCAGTTCTAGCATTAAAAATTCTGTAACTCCTGGCCTGGGCTGTGTGGCTCAGTGGTTGAGTGTCAAGCCATGCACCAAGAGGTCACTGGTTCAATTCCCAGTCAGGGCACATGCTTAGGTTGTGGGCCCAATCCCCAGTGGGGGACATGTAGGAGGCAGCTAATCGATGTTCTCTCTCATGGATGTTTCTATCTCTCACTCCCTCTCCCTTCCTCTCTCTCTAAAATCAATTTAAAAAAAAATTAAATAAAAATAATCTAGTAACTTCTACACAGTTGTAATCTGCTATTTTGAGACAGAAAAGTGAAATATAAATTTCAAAGCCATTGTTCCTTAGTTGCTTCAAGGGATTGGGTGAGCTTATGATAATTCTAGGGACATTGTGGCCATAGAAAGGGTATTTGTAAGTGTTTGTAATTTTGATGTGGGACTACTAGAAATCTTAGGATCACATGCAAATTTTTAACTAGATAGCCATGACAAATGAAGGCCAGTGGGGGGCTATTGAATCATTGGGATACTAATGCATCCGGATCTCCTTGACTAATCCTATGACTTCTCAAAATAGCACCTTTTCCAGAGCTCCCTCCTCTGTGACCTTAGAAATCTCAGAAGCACACTGAACATAGAGACCCATGTGTCTCTTTGCTGCATTCAACAGAACACTGTTACTGTAGGTGGTGTTGAATGGGCCCAAAGTTTCAGGATTATGATCACTTGGTCAAAGCCACACATGCAACACAGAAATTAGAGCTTTTGCAAGAACGTTCTTCCTGATAGTCTTGGGAGTTTGGTAGGGACAACATATTAAAAGTCAAATAAACTAAATTTAGCATTTATTTTAGCTATTCTAGAT